TGTTGATAATACACCTTTATGGAATTATGTTACTAAACTAGGTAAAAGTGCTGATACGGGGGGGGGGGGGGGGGGGGGGGGGGTACTTAGAGGTTTCAGTGTAACTTTTGTAATGAAGTTAAACAAGGATCTTATTCGAGAGTAAGGGCACGCTTGCTTCAAATTCCAAACAAAGGAATTGCCGTATGTAAAAAGGTTCAATCCAATGATCTACGTGTGATGAAAAAATTGGAAGAGGAAGTTGAGAATAAAAGAAAATATGCTGCCCCTAAAGATATTCCTTTGTTACAAAAGAAAATCTAGCATAGGCCCTTTGGAGAAAGCTTTTGATGTAGATGGTAGAGCCAAACTAGATGAAGAAATTGCTAGAATGTTTTTCACATGAGGGTTGCCATTTAATCTTGCTCGAAATCCTTATTATGTGAGAGCTTTTTCTTTTGCTGCAAATCACAATTTGGCAGGTTATGTGCCACCCGGTTATAATAAATTGAGGACCACTTTGTTACAACAAGAGAAGGCTAATGTTGAGAGGTTATTACAACCACTCAAAGCTACTTGGCGGGAAAGAGGCGTGACAATTGTGAGTGATGGTTGGAGTGATCCTCAGAGGAGACCTATAATTAATTTTATGGCAACTTCTGGAAGCGGTCCTATGTTTCTTAAAGCTGTTAATTGCATGGGTGAAGTGAAATCGAAGAATTTATTGCTAATTTAATGAAAGAAGTTATTGATGAGATAGGCCATCTAAATGTGGTTCAAATTGCAAGGGAGCGAGAGAAATCATTGAAGGTATGTATCCACACATTTATTGGACACCATGTGTTGTGCACACCTTAAATCTTGCTTTAAAAAATATTTGTGCTGCAAAAAATGTGGACAAACACATAGAAGTATATGATGAATGTCATTGGATCACCGAAATTCATGGTGATGTTGTTCACATAAAGAATTTCATCATGAATCATACGATGAGATTGTCCATGTTTAACAAATTCGCGATGGCAATCATCATGAATTTCACTCAAATTACTTTCTGTTGCGGACATCCGATTTGCTTCTATTATTGTGATGCTTAAGAGATTTAAGCTTATTAGACGTGGTCTTGAAGCTATGGTGTTGAGTGATGAGTGGGCTTCCTATCGAGAGGATGACCAAGGTAAAGCAAGGTTTGTGAGAGACAAAGTTTTGAGTGAGTACTGGTGGGATCAATTAAATTACATTCTTGCTTTCCCAGATCCTATTTATAGTATGATTCGAGCATGTGATAGAGATAAGTCATGCCTTCATTTGCTGTATGAGATGTGGGATTCAATGATTGAAAAAGTCAAAATCCAAATCTATAAGCATGAAGAAAAATCTCTTGATTCATATTGTGCGTTCTTCAACGTAGTATATGATATTCTTGTGGCACATTGGGAAAGAGTTCAACACCACTTCATTGTTTAGCTCATTCATTAAATCCAAGGAATTACATAAATTCTTCTAATTATTTATTATTTATTTCAATTATTTTATTTTATTTTTATACTTTAAAATGTATTTTTGTGTTATTAGATTTTATAGTGAAGTTTGGCTTGATGAGGATCCCGCCCGAGTCCCTCCTCATAGAGATGGTGAAATCTCTCAAGAGAGGATGAAGTATTTTCGAAGGCTCTATCCAAACGCCGAAGATTATGACAAGGTTTTGAATGAATTTGCTTCCTTTTCACTTAAGACAGGGGCTTTTGCAGATATCACATCTCTTTCAAAGATGGGAAACACGGATCCAAAAAATTGGTGGGCAAACTTTGGTGCTCAAACACCAATCCTTCAATCACTTGCTTTTAGAGTTCTTGGACAACCTAGTTCTTCATCTTCTTGTGAACGTAATTGGAGCACGTACTCATTTATTCATTCACTTAGAAGGAATAAATTAATTCCTAAACGTGCAGAGGATTTGATGTTTGTGCACAACAACTTTCGCCTCTTGTCAAGGAGTTCTGAGCAATATACAGATGAGAAGACTAAGATGTGGGACGTTAGAGGAGATGAATTTGGCAATCTTGAAGAAACGGGATATCTAGAATTTGCTAAACTGTCATAACATGAGCCTGAAGTGGGGATTGTGTTTATTACCGAATGAATTATTTAGTTGTGTCCTTTTTACTAAGTATCATTGTTTGTAATTGCGCAATGCAATTGCGCCTCATGGCGCGCCTCAGCTAATTCCTAGACTATGGCGTAAAAGGCATTGCATATGGCGTTACGAGTGTGGCGTACGCAATATTGCACTGAGGCGTACGCAATATTGCATACGCAATAAGACGCTCTGAGGCGTACGCCATAGGAGAACATCAGGGTGTAAGGGTATTATTTGGGTCCACTCGGCCCACTTTTAAAAGTTTATAATTGATGTTATGATCCCTATTTCAAATCACTAGTTATTGATTGGATTTTTTCAGTCGATCAATCTTAAATTCTCATATCTTAGATTTTTTTATAAACGATTCAGAAAGTTTTGGTATTCTATGGTACTTTGAAGTTTGAACATATTACTTTGCTAGGACTGTGGCCTCTTATGATTTGTTTTAATATAACATTTGACGACTTTTGACAAATATGTTTATTTTTTATTATGTTTATATTATATATATATGTGTGTGTGTGTGTATATATATATATATATATATATGTGTGTGTGTGTGTATGTGTGTGTGTGTATATATATATATATATATATATATATATATATATATATATTGCGTAAGCCTCATTGCGCAACGAGGCGTATGCCTGAGGCGTAATATATATATATATATATATATATATATATATATATATATATATATATATATATTACGCCTCAGGCATACGCCTCGTTGCGCAATGAGGCTTACGCAATATGCAATATTCAAAAAACGCCACGACTACGCAATACGCAATTTCAAACCTTGCTAAGTATTCATACAATGGATTACAAACAATGTTGATGTTTGGTTAAATTTTTTCCTAATCAATGCATGTAAACGTGACCTATTTTAATAGTCATCTAGTTTTATTACTAATATTTTAGTTTTTAGTGCGACGTTTCCTCGCCGTACCCGTACCCTTAATTTTTGAGATTAAGGTTTCCCCGTCCCCTTTTCCGTCCCCGTTTCTGTTTCCGTTTCCGTACCGGTGCTACTTAGGCGTCGAGCTATGTTAGCTGAAATGGAGACCTTACATTCTAGCGGGACATGGGACTTAGTTTCCCTTCCTATTGGGAAATCAGTTGTTGGGTGCCGCTGGATATACACAGTCAAAGTAGGACCAGATGGAAACATTGATCGTCTTAAAGCACGTCTGGTTGCAAAGGGGTATACACAAATCTATGGATTAGACTACACCGACACATTTTCTCCTGTTGCAAAAATTGCATCTGTTCGTCTGATCTTATCCATGGCAGCAATGAGCCCATTATTTCAATTGGATATAAAAAATGCATTTCTCCATAGTGATTTACATGAGGAGGTTTATATGGAGCAACCACCTGGTTTTGTTGCTCAGGGGGAGTCTGGTTTGGTTTGCAGATTACGTCGTTCTTTATATGGCTTGAAACAATCCCCGCGTGCATGGTTTGGGAGATTTAGTGTTGTTGTTCGTGGTTTTGGCATGACTCGGAGTTATGTAGATCATTCCATATTCTATAGACATTCTGCAGGCAATAAATGTATATTTCTTGTTGTATATGTTGATGACATTGTCATTATAGGTAATGATAACCAAGGAATTGCCCAACTCAAGGAATATCTGTTTAGCAAATTTCAAACAAAAGACTTGGGAAAACTAAAGTACTTTCTTGGTATTGAGGTTGCCCAATCAAGAAATAGAATTGTGCTCTCACAGAGGAAATATGCATTGGATATTCTTGAGGAAGCAAGGATGTTGGATTGTAGGTCAGTGGATACACCAATGGATCCAAACGTCAAACTCGTGTATGAACAAGGTGACCTCCTGCCCAATAAAGAGAGATATAAAAGGCTTATTGGAAAGTTGAACTATCGTACCATCACAAGACCAGATATTTCATTTGTTGTCAGTGTGCTTAGTCAATTTCTTGATAAGCCATGTGATGGATATTGGGACGCAACTATCTCAGTCTTGAGATACATCAAGAAAACTCCAGGACAAGGATTACTCTTGACAAGGATTACTCTTTGAAGATCGAGGGCACCATGACATTGTTGGATATTGTGATGCAGATTGGGCTGGATGTCCAATGGATAGACATTCTACTTCTGGATATTGCATTTTGATTGGTGGAAATTTAATTTCTTGGAAAAGTAAGAAAGAGAATGTGGTTGCCAGGACTAATGCAGAAGCAGAGAACGGTGCAATGGCCCTTGCTTCATGTGAGATATTATGGTTGAAGCATCTACTCCAAGAATTAAAATACAGAAGCATGAAACCCACCAAGCTAATGTGTGATAATCAAGCTGCAATGCACATTGCTTCCAATCCAGTGTATCATGAGAAGACTAAACACATTGAAGTTGATTGTCACTTTATTCGAGAAAAAATCACAAATGGACATATTACTACTCACTATGTCAAAACAACAGATCAACTTGCAGATGTTTTAACAAAATCTCTTAGAGGACCTAGGATGCAATATATTTGTAACAAACTTGGTGCATATAATTTATATGCTCCAATTTGAGGGGGGGTGTTGAAATCCTAGTTGTATACTTGTATTGGGCTTAGCCCGTCTTGTATAGTAACCCTAGTGCTCTAGTTTTAGCTATAAATATAGCTACTTGTATAGTTCTTTACATCAAGATTCATTACAATGAAATACAGTTTATATAGTTTACAGTTACATACATACACACACATATATGTGTGTGCATACACCACATGTATATAGCCAATAAAGGCATTAGTATGAATTGCTCAAATGCATTTCATTTTTCCGAGGTGAACCTGTTCCATTTGAGCCAAGATTTACACACTACACACACACACAAATCCAAATGCCTTACCAGAGGCAGCTGCATCACTTTTGGCAGAGTGTTCGCAGATGAGGGAAACATTGGATACTGAAATAGGTATGAGGAGTGGGTTCTTAAATTCAACATCTACCATGATTGCCTCTGTTAAACAAGAAGCATCACATGACCATAATGTGGTTGGATAAAGGAAACGCTAAAATAAAGGAGAAACACATTTTACTAAAAAAGCATAAAAATAATAACCAGTGTTCAAAATATGCCTTCATATGTACCTATTTCCAAAAACATTTTAAGTAACTAAAGTTACATATGGCCATAATGCGGGTGCACAAAGGAAACACTAAAATAAAGGAGAAACACATTTTAATAGGAAAAAACATAAAAACAAATAGTGTTCAAAATATACATTCAATACATACCTATTTCCAAAAACATTTTAACTAAAGTTGCATAAAAGCAACTGTGTTTATATGGTCTGCATCAAATAAGTGCTGGTTTAAATTTAAAAATACCCAAACAATCATGTGCAACCTGCTCTTACCCACCAACACATGCCCCTTAGTAGAGCATCAGACCATGGTTTCATGGTGTTGCCTAGGCGTTGACAAGAAGTCCAGGCGGTGGAGAGCACACGCCATGGTTGCTCGCCTCGCCCAAAGAGTGCCAAGCATCTAAAGTTATCGCTCAGAGGTCAACTAGGCATTCATAGGGCGGACATGATCGATTTTTTGTTAATATATTTTGACCCGTCAGTCCAATTCACCATGTTTGCATTTTCTCTCTTACGTTTCTTCTTTATATCTTCCCTTCTCTTCGTTTTCATTTCTTTATATATTGATTAAATCCTCTTCTTTTCATCTCCCAACCATATGGAACCCACGCCCATAACACAGCCTCATTAAACATTAAACACCTCAATAACTCACCAAAGATTACCACACTCCATTGTAAAGTGCAGATGAAGAATTATAATATCAAAAGGCTTATATGAGTGTTACCTCCGGCAACACAGATGTTTGAATCTTTACCCTTCTTCGGCAAAATCTTGGACTGCAGTTCCAGCCAATTACTCTTACTTGTGGAGAATGTTGGAACCATTTCCTCCTCCAATGACTGCCACACACTTTCATTGACAATGGCCTAGGTTTTTGGAAATATGCAAACAGAAAACATAACATCGCATTATACTTGAAGCGCAATGTGGCAAAGAATATGGAAACCTATGAAAAGAGTCCATGACATGGATGAAGCAAATTCACGTTGCTGATGAAAAAGGCAATAAAGATAGATAAAAGAATTCAGGGAGAACGACAGTCACCAACTACTTAGAATTAAGAAGTAGATGGTAAGCACTATAATCAAGTAAAATTTCTACACTAGAGGTTTATACATGTCAGTCATGGAGCAGTAAAAGAATACGTGGGAACTCCAGTCCATTTAAAAGATGGTTTTTGATGCAAAACAGAAAGAGATGCAGCTGAATGTGGGCATTTGTAGGTGCATCTGCAGGTTGTGAAACCACCATGTTTCTCATTAAAGAGACCTTTGTATAGAATTATAAGTTGATAAAAAGGCACATATACTACATTAATTGAAAGGCATAAGATGGCAATCAAGAATAATATTCCAATATGATTAGCAATAGATAATAGCATGTCAAAAAGTAATTATGTTTTTCCCATATTAAAGAAGTGATGAAATTTATGCAGATGCTTAGTAATTCAGGACTGAGGAGCATCTCAAAGTTGCATATAAACATGTTGTCTTTAGGAATTCTAAATTTCAAGAGAAGATTATAATATATCGCCATGACGTGATCTATGTAGTATAAGACAATGAAAGAAACAATATGGCAAAACCCTGCAACTATGTTGAGTAGCAATGAGGAAAAGACAAAATCCCACCAAAGACACCAAATATAAGATTGGCTGTCACCAACATGGGCATCGTAATGCTGTCAGTGCTTGAGAAATCCAAATATAAACATGATTCAAACATTATACACAACAGAATGCATCATTGAACAGATGTCATGATGCAAAAATGCACTCTCTGTAGCTTTAAAAACAGGTAAAGATTCAAACTATGTGGTCGAACTGGTTCTATAATACACAATATTAGAGAAGAAAACATATGAAATACAAGAATTTATAATGTAAACTCAACTGGTTCAAACTATGTGGTCGAACTGGTTCTAAAGTGCAAGAAACTGTTGTTCCTGAGAACACTCAACTACATTAAAATGTCAATCCTCAAGGAATTTGCAAGTAGGATCATGAAAAAGACAGCATGCAATCATCCCATAGCTAAATCGCATGTAAAAGGCAGACAATGGACTTTACAAAGAGGTAAGGACAAAGTTATTGTATAAACACATGAAAGTTGCATGACATTGTTTGGTGATCACGGCTAACATCAATCGTCACCAAAAAGATGTTTGATAAAGCAACAAGCCAATTGTGCAACCAACATATTTTAAATGAGTGAACGAAATACAACAAGATGTAGGAAGTGGTTGGTTGCTTGTTGGAGGCTTGGAGGGTTTACGAGAAGGCGGATCAGATTAAGACTGAATGTGATGCTTGGTGAACGGAAATGGAAGGTGTATAATTCTTTTATTATCTACTTTTGGAAAATTAAATAATTCTTAAAAATAGGATGGGAATCATAGTATTCCCATTCCCATTAACCTCTTAATCACAACTGTTATCATCCGCATACCCTTAAATGCACCAAACACCCTAAGTGTAGATGCGCAAAACAAGAGCTGTAAGGTGGTACTTATGATAAGGAGAAAATTGAAAGGCCCCATTGGCTTACAGCTGCATGTGATGCATAAGTACGATGATCTTCAAACACAACTCTGATTGAAGGGATGTTGATCACAGGTAGCTTAAGCGTTGGAACCTCAAAGGTTTTCCCTGTTTTCTGTGTGATTCAAATGAAAATAGAAAATAAAGAAACATATATTACTATTTTGAATTACAAGTTCAATTCATTTGAAAATTATACATGAAAAAACATATCAATATCTCTAGCTCTAGTTGTCTAGAGCTAGAAACAGTCATAACCTGAACTATTTGAAAAAAGTCCCTGAGAAATAACTCTTGTGTCGTCTTGGACTGATGACCACATGATAGGACTTCTAACATGTTCTTAATTGCCATGTCATATGCTCCAAGGAACGCAAACCACCTAAGACCAGGAGGAAGATATTTACTAAAACATATATGGTAGTCAAAAGAAAAATTAAGAAGCAAAAGTCTTAAGATTCAATACACATCAAAGCCTATCCGGTAAGTGAACAAATTAGATATACATTAGTGCTGGAGAAATGGCAAGAGGTTGCTAACAATTTGATTAGTAATAGAGATATCTTAGTAGCTTACTTTCCTATGTTGAAATGAACATGATCTCTAATACGACTCCACGAAGTTCCTTCAAAAACAGAAAGAGCACCTCTATACGTTCGTATTGCATGCTTTATCTGATAAAGAAGAGAGTCAATATATTTATGAACTAGGTTGCAGCTCATTACAAACTCCCATGTCTACACACAGATGCAATAGCTATTTATACACACACACACGATGAGATAAGAGAACAAACCTGATCACATTGGTTGTACAAGTCACCAGAAAGTATGAGATGGAAGCCATACTTGCGTAGCATTGGTGGGGTACAAAACAAGTAACAGTAAGATGATTGCTCAAGCAATACAGCCGAATGCAGAGGTTCCTGAAAGGTATGCCTTCAGAAAAGGAAATCATTTTCTCTTTAGAATATTAGATTAACTGGGCATTACCTCACCAGAGATTCTAAAATAAACGATGGCAGCCTCTTTAAACTCATCTCTTGATTTTAACATTTCAACCCACCACAGACCACACCGTGTAGCATTTCTTTGACCTGATGGGCCAAGTTTCTGGGGAACAAAAAGTTACCAGCATTAGATATCCACATCCAAATGTTAAATAACTAAGACAGGGGAAACTATTGCTTCACTGTAACATAATATAGTGAAGATTTCTCTACTGCGTATTATTGTCATGAACTAGGTCACAGTGTATTTTACACAATATATGATCAATATTCACAGCGGAAAAGAGAAGGCTGCATACAATATATGCAGTAAATGCATTCTCCATGCAATATTCAGCATCCTTTCTAGATTGATCTAGCATGAAGTAAGTCAGTCCCATCATCTCCTGCAATATGATATAAAGAGCACAATAACAGAGGATAAAGAAACAAGCAAATTATCTAAAAAAGATGGCTAGGCATAAGATTTAAGGCTAGAATTTAAAATTACGCAGTATAAATAAACATATTCTAGATAGAAACTTGCTATGTATTTGAGTGCATAGACATGCACTTTTTGAAAGTCCATCCAGACACTTAGCCAAATAAGGGGTATTGTGTCTCAATTTCCTAGCATTCACAAATTGAATGAACCAGATTAAGATTTACAGTAGAGTAGTGATCAATAAACAAGTACTCCTCGTTCCTCTAAGTCTGTGGGACATGGGTGATTGATAGTTAATTTGTGAAGTACTAATGGTTTTGAACCAAATATGATATGAAGCAAACATTCTGGGAAGGATCAAATAGAAAAACGGGAAACACGTATTCTGGGGCATAATACAGTCCACATAAGTAATATCAAGATCTACCTGCACTCCAGCATAGTGTTTCCACGCTTTATCAAGCTTATAATCTGTGGAGAGTAGCCGATAGTTCGACAATGCAAGTTCATAATCATGTAACATGAAAGCATAGTCAGCCAGAACCCTAATTTGTGATTCTGTGGAGCTGAAAGTATACCTGTACCATAATCACACCAATCAAATCTTTCATGAATCAAGAAAATAAAGGAGATACAATCATGCAGCAAAGTAGTCTAGTCGTAACCATACATTGAGCTGCTCTGATTTTCAGCTGTATCATCTTTGCCTTTTCTCCACCACAAGTTTTTTATTTGGTTTCTAAACCCTTTTCGTGTTGCAGAAACCTGTGACATCAAATGAACAGCCAGCAGATTTAGAAAGCATAAAAGGGTTTTCCATTAGAGTTATTCACAAACTGTCTAACAATCAGAAGTTAGGGAAAGGTACCTGTTGATTAAGATTACGAATTTTTTGTTCCATATGAGGGATTATATGTTTGGATGACAGGCCGTGCATAAAAGTTTTCAACTACATATATAAAAGATAGTTTGAGTTGGCAATTATGACAATTACCCAAAAATACATTATGTTGAACTCATAGTGAATAAATATGTCTGTATCATTGTCTTTGAGGCATTATTACAACCTTACCACTTTAGCTAAGCCTATTAACATTTATAGTAGACTGGGTACAGATGGTACCTCCTCTATGTCATCAAGGCTGAGAAAGCTACATGGTTTTTGGCTACTTGCGGTAGCATTTTTCTGTTAGAGAGAACACAAGCACAAACTTTTCATCCCTAGAAGCAAATGTTATAAGCTATATGTATATATATGTCAAACAAGATTAGATGCTTTCTCTTAACTAACTTACAATAGAAGCCCATAAATTTACTTGGTGGTCTGCTGTTCCATCAGCTGAAGAGTTAATGCACAACAAATGGCAATCATTTACCCCAAATGTGACCCTCATGTCTGCCAGGATTTTGGTTGCTCTGCAAAGAAACACGATACAAACAGCCATCGCTGTGCAGCATGAGCTTGCATTCTGTGAGTAAGAGACCAGTTTCCAGTTTGCCACAAAACAACTTGGGTATCATAAACAACATTTTCAACCATTTCTAACTTTAGAGACTTAACACCAAATTCATAGTTATATGGATTCTTTCAAGAAGATCTACTGTAATTAGCAGTTCAAGAGTACCCAGAAAAAAATAGGTAGGACCTGTTGACCACCAGCTATGTTGCATGTGTATGGATGCGCGAATATGTTTATACAAGTATAGCAATACGGCAAACTTGAAACATACAGGATCTAGGTACAGGTGTATATTTACAAATAATAGAAATATAGGAGTCAATTTGAAATATAAAATATCAAAATTTAGAGGTTCATAATCAAATAACAGAGCTAAAACTTCATAAGCATGATAAAATTTTCAAAGTTTAGACTTGAAACATAAATATAAATACTCAGACTTCAAAATTTAAAGTTGCATAACATTAGACTCTGTATCTATGATTCTGTGTTTTTTAATGTTAGCATTTGCATATGTGTCCTTCAACAAACCGAAGCTAGAATTAACTGTGGCTCATCAATGCAAGGATTGGCAATTTGGAGTATTCCTATATCTTCTCTGTTAAGTGTATCATGAGTGGGAATTGAGAAGAATTTGGCTTAAATATGTGTATTGGTCTACAGATACATTTTGTCAGAAGTTTTTCTTATTATTTAAATGGGTCCAGTACTTTTATACAATTATGGATATGGGCCCAATACGTACAGTAGGTGATTCAGTGAGTATCGGCATCGGATACAGCATCATGACAAAGCATACGTGCACCGTAGCCTACCAGTGGCAGCGAGAACTACTAGGCCGCAAGACACATTCTTGAATGCTTCAACTAGTATAAAAATAATACTTCCTTTACCCATTTGCACTGTATGGTTCAATAAGCAAATATCAACTCAAGCTTCTTCTACTTGCATTATTTAATTTAGGTTTAAATATGTTTTTAGTCCCTGCAAATATGACACACTTTGTTTTTAAGGGAAAAATACTCTAATATTACTAAAACTCACCACTTTTCCCAAAATATGACTATAGATGTTTTTTGATGTGGTGTATGACCAAATTATGTGGCACAAAAATAGGAGCAATCAATAAAGGCAAAGTGCTATACGATTGTCTCTAAAAAATAGGAGGTCAATATTAATCATATGGATGGCAACATGCATCATTATAGGGAAAAAAACATAATTAGTCATACTCTAGGAAAACACATGAGTTTTAGTAATATTTATAATAATTTTCTCTTGATTTGAGTCCCTGCTAAATATTTTATTTGTTTTTCATCCCTGAAATTTATGTTGGTTTTCTTTTTAGTCCATGACTAATGATAACAACCTCCGTTTGACAAAGAAAAAACCCCGGTTAATGGCTTTCTTCTAATTCTTTATCATGTCATTCAAAACGTTTTTAATTTCATTTTCTAGAAGGTTTTTAATACATATCTTAAAAATGGGAATAATTAGTTTTATATAGTTTTGACTCTCATATTAGCCTCAAAAAAAATATAAAATGATAAATTTAAATGTTTCTAGTAGATCTATGCAACTAGGCCTGCATTTAAATGTTCCTACGGTAATGTAGGACGGAAATTAGGCCTGCATTACTGTATGGCGTAGAGTGTTAGGCGGTGAAACAATGTCACATTACAAAGATGAGTGTGACAGAGATGTGCATGCTGCGTTGGATGTGTGGGCATACTAGGAAGGACCGCGTGAGGAATGAGACAATAAGACAAAGGGTGGGAGTAGCACCTATTGAAGACAAGATGTGGGAGTCGCGCCTACGGTGGTTTGGTCATGTGCGTAGAAGACCGAGTGATGCACCTGTCACACGAGTTGAGATGTGTGGAGAAGAGGCAGAGAAGAGAGGGAGAGGAAGACCCAAACAGACGTGGGTTAGGGGAGTTCGAAGTGATATGCTTCTTCTGGGGTTGGATGAGGGCATGACTTTGGAGAGAGCTAAGTGGAGGGCGGGTATTCGTGTGGAGGAGTGATCTCGTATCATCTTTTTCCCTCATCTTTTTTCCTTGTTTTTTATCCTTATATATATAAGCATTATTTGTATCCTTTTTATTTTATCATTTTTATGTATATTCATCTCTTTTTATATTATCTTTTTGTAATAGCTTATCTTTTTTATCTTTATTTCCTTTCTTTTCCTTTTGGTGGTGATATCATGTTAGCCGACCCCAATATCTTTTGGGACTAAGGCTTGAATGTTGTTGTAGTAGATTTATGCAACTCACAATTAAAAAAAATATAAATAGAGTTGTTTCAGAGTTAGAGGTGGACTAAAACCAAAATAGAGCATATTACAGGGATGAAAAACAAAGAAAATATTTTGCAAGGACCTAAAACAAAATGTGTCATATTTGTAGGGACTAAAACCATATTTAAACCTTTAATTTATTAGTGCATACAAAACTCATCCTTGATCTTAAATAAGTGGATCAGCAACCTGAACCAATGTAAGATCTCTCAAGGTCATTTACCAATACCTTGATATCTAAATATATTGCGCTATTTTCTATTATGCATATTTTTATGAAGCCCCAATGCCCTAATATATTTTACACCCTTAATACATGTTGTATTTGGTCTACCACGACTCCTCTTTGAGTTTCCAGCATTCGAAGGCACCTTTTTCCATACCGAGACAACTACACCTCAATGGCACATATGTACCAACAGAAGATAGTTCTCTTTCGCATTGTTTTTAATAGTCGCTACACCCAATTTGATGTGAATCACTTTGTTGCAAACTCTTATCTTTTCTTGTGTTACCATACATTCATAGTAACATGCACATCTTTGCCACACCACCTTTGTTAGATTTTTCTTAATAGCTCAGCATTCAGATATGTATAACAAAGAAGGTCTAACGGGGTGGTCTTACAAAAAACACTTTTCCGTCTTAGAGAAACATTAAGATCCCCCACTATTCACGTCATTCATTTCTACTTTTGTAAACATGTAATAACTATTACTCCCTCCGCCCCCTATAATTGTCCCATTTTTCCTTTTCATCCGTCCAACTTTGTTTGTCGCATACCATATTTAGTAATATTTGGGTGATTCTAATTCATTCTTGCTATATTCACACTTTACCAATTTAATATCAGCACATAACACTACTTTTCATAAAAACCACACCACTCCCTCTTGTCCCCATCCCCATCATAGAGGGATGGAGGTATTAGTACTTATCCTCTAGCTATCAGTTATTAAAGAGCTATAGATTAAATAGTTTATGTTTATCTAGTTGTTAGCATATTGTAATATTTAAGGAAATTAGCTTCATGTATGTGCACTTATACCCCATGACTTTATGAATAAAATCATTCAATTCCTCAGATCATTCTACTTTTATGGTATCTGACATTCTGACCCACAATTCTTCAGCCATGTCAATTCAAATAACAATACCAACACGACGAGTGAACAAACTTGAGCGGTTAGTCCTGCTCATTCTCTGATTCTCAATATTTCATATGTATGCAAATCGACACTGGAATACTCTGGTATGCAGGAAGTAAAACTATATTTTCCATTGAGACAATAGTTTATTCATTAAGGAGGTTATTTTAATACAACAAGATGGACAAGTTAAATCACATCCCATGTGGTTCCGAACATAAGGAATCAGCAACTTACTTTTCTGGTGGGCCATCTTGGTTGTTGTGCACCAATACAAAGTGCTTGAGAATATTTGGGTCCATGGAACCATCATTCAGGAGTGGCGGCAACTGATTAGTGTTGAAAAGGTCAACAAGTTTATTGATTGGATCTTCATCCTTAGAAGAAACGGCCAAAATACCTAATAAATATTAAAAGTGAAAACCAAGAACTTTGGTATAAAAAAATTGATACATTGGAAGATAAAAGAACTTTAATAACAGCAATGATAAATGGAAGCACTATTTCTGGATTGACAGAACATAGACAAGGACAAGTGGAAGAGAGAAGAAGAGAACCCAACAAACATGAGGGAAAAACTTACATGCCACAGGATGGTCAAAAGCTTCATGCTCTGAGAAAGATACTGAGCGCACTAGCTCTCTGTTAAAAAACTGAAACCATGATGGCACGAACTCAAGTTGAGAGGCTTCAATTGAGCACCAACAGAGAATCATTCCATACGAATGTCATATATTAAGTTAGAACTGTCATCTATGAAATATATACATTCAATTGAAAACTAATTGCATCTGGTACACTACTTTAACGAAAGCAAGAGTGGGTTGAGAGAAATCAAGTTCAATTCCGAAAGCACAAAGTTTACATTCATTGGTGTTCACTTCGGCTCATAAAATCACTTGTTGAGTATAATAGACCAGAGCAGGAGAGAGGGGTTTGAATTGGCTTTGACCTGGGATCAAAATTACCAATTATAGGAAGACAATAGGGCAATACATACAATTTAGTACAGCCTCAATATGTGGAGGGTCTGTGCAGAAATCTGAAAGATCTCCCTCCCCGGCATGAGTTATAACTTGCTTTAGTCGCTCCTTTGCAACCTAATTAAGTAAAAAACATGGAAATGAAAATAAAGGAAAATTCGAGATTCATTCTTCTTTTCATATTCAAGTTACCACTTCCAGACATGCACCGCGCCAATCAGCACAACAAGCATACCAGGATACGTTAAAGAACAGTTTAAGCAAGATATAGGCTAGTAAGCGATTTGAATCTCATATTTCCGCTGTACCCACAAAAAAAGCAATTTGAATCTCAGCGGAGTATGTGAAGTTCAAAGATAAGAGTGCATGTTTGCATATTGTAGTTACAGTTTAACTGATCCAAGTCATCCAACATTATTTCATCTTCCATTGAAGCAATTAAGTTTACCTCTACATTGGGCTGCCGAATATCTGGGGAATAAAACAACCGCAACTTAAACTTTTTCAACCTGTAAGCTTGATCACTTGCGGTCCTCACTGGCACTGCATCATACCAAAGATGTGAAACTTCAACAGCTAACCAACTAATTTTCTTAAGAAAAACCGGTTAAAAGTACTACAGCATCTAACTGATGATAAAATGTACAACGTGAAGTCCAATTGAATGACAAATGAATTCGTAAGTGGGCATTAGCAAATGGATAGAGAGCGAACCGTCAATATTATTGAAATTGCAAAAAGGACTGAGCATTTCAATGAGTGAGATTTCATTTTTCTGGCATGATTCTTCGACGAGGGGGGTGCGAAGGACCATGACAGCCGGAGTGATCTCATTCAAGAGCATTCCTCCCAGCGTTGAGTTCGCGGGATCCGCCATCACCTTTGACTAGTGACACGGTATATCTCACGCTCTAGCCTGGTGGACTATATTCACCAGCTGAAGGGCGTTTTCAGTTGAACTGTAGCTCTGTAATGAACAGATCTACGGTCTGTGATTCTGCTTGCTGTTCAGTGAGAAATGCAAGGAGGTGACGGAAGCCTGAGCTCAGTTGGGGGTTGGATGACAGGTGACAGGAGGCCCATTTTCGGGAGTATATTTTATGGGCCTTTAGGCAATCAAGAGCTTGGCTTCTGGGCCTGCTGACTGGATCTAATCGTTCAATAGGATTCATATTATTTATGTATAAAAAAACAAGGCTAATGCATAAAGAAATTAAAATGGAAGTGTGGAAAATAAATAGGGAATCTTTCGGTAGTAGACTAAATAATGAAAGTATATCACTTTTATCAATTTTAAAATTGGATTTCAAAAATAAATCCACAACGCCTTTCCTTTCAATAACATTCGAAATGTGACACACTAATCTTAAAATCGACTTCAGTGCTCCTAAAACTGTAACCGTGCATTCGTACACCTTTAACAAAGCATGTCCACACATCTCAAACCAAATGAACAGTAAGAGGATAATTAATTGAGAAAAACTTTAAATAAAATAGACCAAAGTATTTTAAAAAGTAAGGAGCGTAGAAAAATTTGATTATAATGTTTTAAAACAAAAATGGTAAAAGAATTTGAAATGTACTTAAAATTTTGTAGAATTATAAAACATTCAAAATAAAAAAAAAGGTTAATAACAAAATAAATAAATAGATTTTAATGTTCCTCGATATGAAAAAAACTTCTCTGCAATAAATATTAGAGAGAAATAATTAATTTTGAAAATAAAAACTAGAAATAAAAGTCATAAGAAACTTTTAACAAGAAAATTGAAGAGTTAAAGTAATATTTTCAAAAGTTAAATATTGACAGAAATACTGAAAGTTTGAAAAAAAAAATCATTAGAAAAAATTCAAAGTTAAAAATTGTAAATTAAATTTAAAAACAAAAAGAAAATTAATTTAAGTTTCAAAAAATCAGAAAAATATAGAAAATTGAAGTATAATAAACTCGATAACAAATATATAAAAGTTTAAAATAGTTAAAAATTATAAAAAAAAAAAAGTAAAAATTAGATAAAAATATTTTAGAATTACTAAAAGTATGAAATGTAATTATAAATATTTATGAAAGAATATATATTTTAAATTGGAATAAATCCATAGTACATAATCTATAAAATCCAAATGTTTACATATAATTTTAAACTATTAAAAAATCTAGAATAGTTTTTAAAGTACAAAAAGAGAGAATATAATCATAAACGTGAAAACAATATCATAAAATTAATGTAAATTATAAAAAGTGTAAAATATTAAAAAACAGAAAATTAAAAAAATTGAAGACTTAAAATGTTCAACATGTAAAAAATCAAAATTTGAAAAATTGAAAAATTTAATTTTTAATTCAATAATTTTTAAATATTTTAAAATATAATCATCATCTTTTTTTAGTTCCGTAGAATATTGTTTCCTTGTGTTTTTTTATTGATAACTTTTATTTTATTTGATTTTTTATTGTTTCACCATGTTTCTAGTTGTTTCTAATATTGATAATTCCAAATGTATCATTTTATGTGTTCATATAAATATATATTGCATACAGAAAAAGTTACTACATACCAATGAAAACATAAATAACATAAATAAAAAAGCTATAGTTCAAAAAATCAATAAAAAGAAACATTCTGCAACAAACAACAACAAGATACAACAAAAAGAAACATTCTGCAACAAACAACAACATGCAACAAAAAGCAACATGATGCAACAAAAACAATCTAGTGCAACCAAAAGCAACGTGATGCAACAAAAAACAATCTAGTACAACCAAAAGCAACACACAATGCAACAAAAGGAAACAAAAAAATATATAAAAGTATCACAGTAAATATATAACGAGTCTATTATTTCAATGTCATTGTAAGTAAACATATGCTCACGACGCAGAGAGAGCATAGATTAAATGGTGCATGTTTGTGAAATCACCAATTAAATGATTGTTACAAGTGTACATTAACAACAAATAGACACTTTAGAGAATGCAATAGGCATGTTAAATGAGCAGCTTTGCGGAAAACAATCTTGTAACTTTGGGTTGAGCTTTATATCAGCATCCTATGGACATGTCGCAACATTTAAGGTTCAAGTAGGACAAAAAATCTTCCAAATGCTTCATTTTCGCTAGATCAAAGTCCTCAAAATTAGCCACAATAGCAAAATTGCTGCATAATCAATTAGGGCCTGTAATATTACAACCATCATTAGGTTTACAGTAAATTAAATGTCAAATTCTTTACAAAGACAAGTACAACTGATCAAAATCCTAAGATCCACCTTAAAACCCTTTAAGTGTTGTAGATATTTTTCAGATCTCATTAGACCCCCACCAACTATAGCAACCTTCTCCACTTCCCTTGGTTTGAGACTAATATGAGTGACATTTGGCACCTATTCCATTATCCATAAGATAAAAAAAGTTGTGAGGTATGTGTTAACCAAAAAATATCTAAAAGCGCCGAAGATAAGTAATTGCCCTCAGCCATCACAAAAGACAAGTTGAGAAACACGTGAGATCTAGATTTACAAACATTCTATAGTCCATTCCATGACAAAATTCTTAATGGGAATGAGATTTAGATAAATACAAAGTCCAATTACTCAAAACGTATTCACTATTTTAGCTACCACCACAAACTATTCAGGTCCTCATGAAAGAAAAAAATGTTAAACATACTCTTTAGTTATCCAGGCTACCAGATAGTTTGGTTGGATGCATATCATCAGAACCCATAAAGAATGTTTCACTATGAGCAACCTATAAAGAATGTTTTTCTATGAGGAACATATATGTTGTGAGAAAACAATAAGAAGTTGAAAGTTGAGAGATTATAGCAAAATGTGGTTATTCAAGACGTCGTTTTACTCATACGTTTAAATTCATAGATGACCCTTGAATAAAATATAGCAAAACATAGGTAACTAAGTACCTTTGCACACTGCAAGTACAACCTATGCCATTTGTAACATTTTTAACAAACAAATGCTTGAAAAAGAAAGATGAGAATAAACACAAATAGGCAAAGAGATTAAAAAATCACTATAACAATTCTGGCAAACAGAATAGTTAATTTTAAAAATGACTTGTTAGCCTTCTTCGAATCAATGGAGAACTCACAAAGCCACAATCATCTCCGCAAGCAAAAAAACACTGGAAACCTACTAACAAAAAGCTAAACGAAGTAGTATAGTCATAGTTTAAAGTGAAAACCGTCATGGATTGTTAGCTCTAGTCTAGGGGATACAGATTACTTGTCATAACGTATCTAATCCCATTAATTACATAAAAAGTATTTCACCACTAAAAACAAGGGTTAATGCTATTTATCTTGGAACCACAAAAAATTGTCATAATTCTAAGAAAAAAATTGTTCAAATTGGAGATCCAAGTGATGAATTGAAATGTCCATACCTGCAAATTGGAAATCAACACACAGTTAAGCTGTGATTCAGCGAGCATCGGAGTAGCCGAGCAAGCAAAGGCGGAGGGCACGAGATGGAAAGCGCAGCCGCAGAGGACGGAGCCACGGAGGGCGGAGGCCGAAGACACAGCTAGCACTGGGCGGGAGGGAACCTCCATTAACGTCTCCGATCTCTGAAACGATGTCTGGTTGGGGTTTTTATTTAAGACTTAACTCGTTTTTGAAATATAAAATTAAAAGTGAAAAAGTGAAAGTTACAAATGAAAAGTAAATTAGGAGGAGACATAAACGAAATACAATTAGAAAAGGTGGACTTCACGGGATATTTCCACAAATAAATACAAGAAAGGATAAAGAAACTACACTCGAAAGCCCAAGAAAAGAATTACAATGTTAAGAACACTCGCATATTAATGGCAATAGTCCTTAAACATCAACAATTGGTAGGAAAACAACAAACTCACTTACAAAAATGATGACAAGCCTGTGTGAAAAAAGATGATAAATGTAATGGAAACCCCATTTATAGATAAAACGGAGGAAGAGATTAAACTCTTTCAAAACAGAAACTTCAATTTTCAAAACAGAAACTTCAACTTTAATTTTGATGCTCTAAATTCTGGAAAACATTTTTTTGAAAAGGGAAAAATATTTAAAATACGCCAAACTTTGAAGGGGGTGTGAGATGAACATCTCAAATTTGCATATGTAATTTAAATATACTCAAACTCTATATAAAAAGTTATTTTAACACCATAGTCAAGTATTATTTCTTTCAGAAATGTAAATTTATGGTGTTAATTGCATGATTTAAAATATTTTAGAATTCATGAAGACACAATTAACATTCTAAACTATTGGGAAATAAATAATGTTACCCACAATCCATATAATTGCAACACTTTTAATTGGCTATTTTAAATTATGTAATTAACCCCATAATTTACATTTTTGAAATAAATAATACATGACAATGGTGCGAAAATAACTTTTTTTACAAAATTTGGGGTATTTAAATTACATATGCAAGTTTGGGGTGTTTACCTCACACCCTTTCAAAGTTTGGGGTATTTTTATTATTTTCCCTTAAAATAACTTCATAGTAACAACAATTTAAGGCTTTAAGCAGAAGCGAAAATACTTCATATAAAACTTATGGTAGTGTACTGTTTAACTGACGGACTTACACATTGTTGGCCATGGAGCTGGGAAGAGAGGACGACCGAGAAATTAGAGAGGGTGACTAGGGTCAGTTCTACCGACACACACTCACATATATCTTAACCTACCTTATTATAAAGGACAGATGTTCTTAATAAATGCTGAGTTGTGTGCTAAACACTCTTAGATTATGCTATAGCTTAATGTACTTTGAGTTATCTATGATATACGCTAATTATTATGCATCATGGTAACGTTAGAAGATCGTTAGCTGGCCAATAGTACACTACCATCATTGACATGCATCCACCACCGCAACAATTCGATCGTCGCATCGAGCTTCTATGTTGATCGGTCGGCCGACCTTTTCTTCTCGTTCAGCTTTAGCATGCATCGGTGCCACGTGCTAGTTGTGAGTTCAATAATTGAGACGAGATTGATGGATAGTCTACCCGGGGGGTATGTATCCGAAGGGTTACTGTGGGGAGCAACTAGAGAGAAGT